CGTTCTTATAATAAGCATTAAATAACGCCAAAATGGGGCGTTTTCAATGCCTCACTGCTTCTTAATGAGCATGGGCACCCCTCTTTTTTATTTCAAAATTGAAGTTATCATATGGCAAATATTCAGTGGACAAAGTTTGAACAAAAATCTATTGTCACTTTTATTTCAGTGGAATTACCTTAATGTCGAGATTCTATCCCCAATAGCTCTTACTACACCTGGGCCAGGTTGTTCAAAAGGTGGATAAAGCTATCCACCGTATAAATCACTATCTAGTGGACGGCGTGGTTTGTTTTGTTAACCCTTATCCCCTGAATAAGCGTTATCCAGCCTTCGAACGACTGGGCCCTGGCCTATAACGGTGTTTTCAATTCCCACCAATCCAGACGAACAGTTTTGATTTGTAGCAGAACCAAGCTCTTAATGTAATTTGATGTTTCTTTACTCAGCTGCTTAATCAAATGGACGGCTTTGATGCTCTAGGACAGGTAAGGGATCTGTGTCAACCATGCTTTTTTAAGGATTTGTGTAAGAAATCGATTTTATTATAAATTTGAAAATAATTATTCACATTCCTTTATATACAAGAGAAGTCAAAACCTGTCCCTTCCTTCCCCTCCCAGGTGAAAATCATCATGGCAACCAACCGCCCTGATACTCTCGACCCAGCCCTCCTCAGGCCAGGTCGTCTGGATCGGAAGATAGGTGAGAAAACATTGAAAGTAATTAAATCGATTTTATTTGCAAACTGCAAAGGAGAAAACACGCGAGAGAAAGCATTTGAGAGAACTCGGAAAGTTTAAGGTTAAGGGTTGCTCATGAAGTTATTTTGGTGAAATCTTTCTTTTTTTTCTGTTTTGGTCCTCGTACAGCCGCAAAACGCGTAACTTAATTTCCTCCTGCATCGTTCCACTCAGCACTCCAACAATTTACATACGTTATCTCATTAATTTCAGTTTGTGACATACTTCAAATAAGAGTGGAATTTTAGGAAAATTTCTGCTCTTTCTATAAAATAAAGCTAGCGAGATGTAGTGATGTGTCAAGGATTGTAAAATGTTCCAACATTACCAAGCACTACCTAGGATTTGTCCTTGTACCACTGTACATTTGCAAGAACTGTAGCCCGAGTATTAGCTTCTGTGGGCTAGTCACGCAATCGTCCTCCGCCAGGAAGATAACGTGACGAGCCCAAAAAGCGTCTGCGTAGAATGCTACCTGAGTATCAGACTGTTCGAATTTAAGGTGGTAGAGGCGAAAAATAGAGAGATACGAAAAAGAGATGCGTTTGTGTCAGGCTTTCTTCTGCTTTTCTCCTCCTGCCCCGAGGAAGGCCTGATCCTCTAGCCTGCGTAGCATCCGTTTCCTTTCATTTTCCGTGCAGGCGAGGAATCGAACAAGCGATCGAGCAAGCGTGCAAGCGAAGGAGCGCGCCTGGGGTGAGCAAACAATTAGGGAGAAGTGGGGAGGAAGGGAGCATTCGCTGACAGTTTCGTTCTCTTCGCGTGCTTTTTTGGAAATGCCTGCTACGCAGGCTATGATTCTCAAGCTACGAGGACTGGCAAAAAGCCTGTACTTGTTAGAAAAAAAAAGTGATGTTTGTTTGACTGTTTCTGTTTACAGAAATCCCGCTTCCTAACGAGCAGGCTCGTATGGACATTCTAAAGATTCATTCAGCAAAGATTACAAAGCATGGAGATATCGGTGGGTGAACTTCTCCTGGAAACTCAAAAATTAAATGTCAAAACATTGGCGCTGGAAAACATGTAACCAGCGTACGGACGAACGCACTACACGCACCCAGCTCGTCCAAAACTGTCTCTTATTAAAACGCCTCAAATTTCCGAAATCCGCCAAACGTTAAGACAGTGACAGGAAAGTTAAGCTAGTTAGCTACCTAGTTTATGAGCTCTTAATTTTGATAACCCACTTGCAAAGGTCGCTTTAGTCGGATCAATTCTCAGATCTAACTGGGTGATAATTTTTTTGTTTTTTTTTTTTGCGTACGATCATCATTGGGAAAACGTTATTTGGAGAAATAGATAGAGTGGCCTCATTTGCAGTATATTCGTAACGTGTTTTAATTTTTTTAGTTATTTTTTTTTTATAATTGATCTGAAGATTTATTGAGTCCAATGCATGAAGTAAAATTAAGCTCACATTTTCTTGCGCGCTGTTTATTGATAGTTTCTTTTTTATCGTTTGCTACAGATTACGAGGCAGTAGTGAAGTTGTCTGACGGATTCAACGGTGCCGACTTGCGGAACGTTTGCACTGAAGCAGGTTTGGCTTTTAAAAGGATTCATTTTCGATCAGTCCTTGTCATGTATGCTCGTGATGGGTTTATGGGAAGTTTTATTTGTGTGGAGGTGCGGCGGTCTCATGGCTAGTGCGCTCGTCTCTGGATCGAGCGGTCTGGTTTCCAGCCCTGGCCAGGGACATTGTGTTGTGTTCTTGGGCAAGACACTTTACTCTCACAGTGCCTCTCTCCACCCAGGTGTATAANTACCGGCGAACTTAATGCTGGGGGTAACCCTGCGATGGACTAGCATCCCATCCAGGGGGGAGAAGAAATACTCCTAGTCGCGTCATGCTACAGAAAGCGGGATAAGCTCCGGCCACTTGGCTCGAATGCAGACTTTGTTTTTGGGATAGGTTTTGATTTACAGAAGGGCTTGGCAATCTAGGTTCGATTACCAGCCGCTGTTCGGGTAAGGAGTTCGCGTTCCTCGACCAGACACGAGATCTCGTGAACTAAATGCTTCCTCCGTGTTTTTTTTTTTATGATTGCCAGGGCTGATTTTTCTGATTTTTATTTCCTTAGGAATGTTCGCCATTCGTGCAGAAAGAGATTACGTTATCGAGGAGGACTTCATGAAAGCTGCACGTAAAGTCTCCGATAACAAGAAGCTGGAGTCGAAGTTGGATTACAAACCAGTTTGATATGGACCTGAAATTTCTGTTGCTATTTTGTTATATCATGTAAAACACTGTGTTTCCTTCAATAAATCTCAGAAAAGAAAAATGAGATTAGTGTGAAGAAAAATTTTTCAGTATGGATTTTCGAAACTGTGGAAGAAAAAAAGTAATAAAGATGATTAGCTGGGGTTTGGGTTTCGCAACATAGCGTGACGGAATTGTAAAACATAGCGTGACACAATCACCTGAAATGGCCAGTGGCGTTCGAACTCCAGCTGTCGCGTTGTAGTTTACTGCGCTGGAAGATTTTAGTCCTCTCTTTTCCAATGCTTGATGCACAAAGCCCGTAATTTAAAGAGGAATATAAAGGCAGAGACCGTACAAAGCGAGGATGATTTTAAAAATTCGACTGATCAAACCAGCTTAAGGTACCTGTTACAGCTACGCCATCCCTTGTGCAGATTGCATGTCCAATGAGAGGAGCTCTTCTTTCGTGGCACGTTAGGCACACCCTGGTGAAATGAACATATGTATACAGCACCATCTACTCTCCCCCTCCCTACCTTATAGCCGTTTTAAAATGGGAAAAATAAAATTTAATACGAGAATAAGGGGCTGAGGAATTTTGTGACATGCAGTGGAATTCCAAGAGTTTTCGAACCTTCCGATAACTAGGCCTGCGAGAGCATCCGGTTTTTTTTTTTTTTTCGAAAAAATCGGAGGCTCGCACCGGCTTGCATGGCTACCGATAACTCGAACCAAAAGTACATTCTTACCCCTGAACTAAATGATGAGGAAAACAATGTCTCAAACTGGTACTCAACAAATGCACTCCAGGGTAATTTTTCTAAATACCAAGCGTTACGATTCGGACTCAAATCTACGGACAGAGATTTTGATATTGTCATCACGGATACATCTGTAGAAAGCTATCCGATATTAGAACTATACTGGGGGTATCCATAGATGACCAAATGGATTTCAAAAAACATGTTGGCGAGGTTACGAAAAAGGCATCAAAACAAGAGGAGTTCAACTATAATACGTCTGCTAAGCCCCAGTTTTACAAAACCGCTCTGGTGTACCACTATTAACATATTGTCATATTGTCTGGCATTTCTGTGCAGCATCAGATTCACGCAAACTGGACCGTGTACAATAAAAAGCACTTCGAGCCGGTCTACTGCAGTAAAACTGCAACATATGACACTCCTCTAAACATAGCCAAACTTCCAACGCTACGCAGTCGTCGACTTGAGGATGTGGCTACACTCATTTACAAAGTGATTTGGGTATTTTTTTTTTTGTTTTTCGAAGAAGCTACTTTTTCATCATTATCAATAAGACCGTCAACAAAATCCCATCATAACTGATGTTTAGGGCAACTGTGCCAGCCGCAACGGTCATAAATAAGGTATCGAATTTTAGGCCAGTAGCAAAAATCGCAGATTTTGGTCATAAATAGGGTAAGGGTTTTGGGAAGTGGGCCACATACCCACACCCAACTTTTCTGGGAGTACCCCACGAGGTCCAAAGTATATTAGTGACCTTTTTAACCTGAGCACATCTGGTTATGCCCTAAGAAATGCTGACTTTATTGTTTCGAGATTTAACACTGTGGATTTTGGTAGACACAGCATTAGATATTTAGGATCAGTTCTTTGGTCAAAACTGAGTAAGGACGTCAGAAGATCGGATACACTACAAGCTTTTAACAATAAAATTAGACGAATAGATCTTAGTACTGTGATTTAATTAATGAACGCTGCTCGTGCATGCTTTGTGAGAGCTGACACATTAATTTTTTAATTTGATAATTTTTTTAGAGTATTCTCAATGCTTTTTACATTGTATTTTAACTTCTTATTATATTTGAAATTACCGTAGTTCTAATGAGTATATTTTTAGGTAATTCTTATGGTATATATTTTGAATTTCCAATTTTAATATACTGTTAGGAGCTAGATCCTCAACTGACACATAAATAAAGTATCTTCTTCTTCTTCTTCTGAATCGGGCTTCGGTCGCGTGTACAATTAATTAATTCTAAAGGAAATGCTGTTTCCCCGAGAATTCACTTAGCGCGCTTTTGCGAGGATCAATATTTTGAAGGATTAGGCGTTACATCTCATTTAACTAAAACGATTACCTTGAAGTCACGAACATAAAACATCATACGCTAATTTGCATGTGATTTAAAAGAGCTTAAGCGATAGCCGAAAGCATTCTGCAAAAGCATGACCAAGGATGGTTGCTTTTTTCAAGTTTGTTGCCTGCAGCTCCTTTTTCAGAATACAACCTTGTTTAATTTGTTTTGTTTTTCTTTTTTAACTTTTATAACTATCATTTGGTATTTTCTTCAAGTTATTTCGTACATTAGGAAAATGACTTTAAGATATCGTGACACACGAGTGTCCGAGGAACTCTGGCCGAATGATAAATTTTGTTTTTGCGACTCACGGGCGCTTCTCACATTTCAATAAGAAAGACAAAACCCTTGCAGAGTATTCCTTATCTTGCATGAGTTCTGAATAAAATAAATGTCCGTTTTGGTTTACAACCAGCCAATAAAAAATCAATCTGGGAAAAAAAATGGTATCAGAGAATCAGAGTACATAAGCCATTTAAATGAAACTGACAAAAGTTCAATTGAGGCCTTAAACTACTGTAAAACTACTGCAAAATTGATGTTAAAACCTTTTAAAAAAATCCAAGCTTTCGCCGATCTGCGTCATCATCAGGGATAAGGACCGATAAGAAAAATATTTCGGGTAAGGGCTACATACAGATGTAAAGTAATGTATTCTAATAACTTATTTTACATCTGTACATAAGCCTTAACTACGCGGAATATTTCTCTTATCCCTGATGATATCCCTGATGATGCTGTAGATCGGCGAAAGCTTGGATTTTTTTAAAGGTTTTTTAAACCTTCTGACAAAAATTCAATTGAGGCCTTAAACTACTGTAAAACTACTGCAAAATTGATGTTTTAGTGAATTTTTGTCAGTTTCATTTAAAATGCTACTGTACAACATCGACATCATCGAACGATTGTAAGCCCTTTAGTTCTATAACTTGCAGCCAATCAGCAGTGTCTATTTCAAGAGGCGAATTCATTCCTTTGTCTCACTCACGATTGGTTGATTACGGCACGTGACTTAGTCTGTGGCCGCTGGCACGCAAAAGGCGTTCATGTTGATTCTATCAAAGTGGAACGGTTTGCACTAAATTTGGCCTTCCTTCGGGACTAGTACAGGGGAATTTTCATCTGTGGGCCCGAAGACCGTTAAAAATAAGTTTTCGTTTTACTTTCTGTTTTTTTGATTCACGCAGTCGGACGGCAGAAAACGGCGAATCATGCCAGTTCGCAAGGAAGGTAGGTCGACTGTGTTCGATTTCACGCAGAGTTTTGCAAGCTGCGGTGATCACTAAACCCATGTTATCGCTTCTGTGTGATGATTCTAATGAAATTCAAATATCATTCTTTCAGATGCAGGCAAGGCTCTTGAGCTGTTGGAGCGCTATTATGAAAAGTTAAACAAGCCACAAGATCGAGCGCTCCGCACTGCCATCGAAAGAGTAATTCGGATATTCCAAAGTCATCTATTCTTGGCCCTTCTAGGTGAGGGTCGGTCGATGTTTGCATTTTTGAGTGTTCTATTCAGTGGAGAGAACTATTTAGTGATATCTTCTCTAAAATAAAATTTCAAGGTTTAATCTTGGTTTGAATTTATGTTGCCTTGACAATCTAGAATTAGCAAATGATCGGCAAGATAAAGTCGATAAACGCTCATTGTGTAATATAATTTTGAAGTTTCGCGTTTGTGATATTTCTTCAGCCCCTCGCTGTTATGTTTTCAAACTGTACGATTTCTACTATCCAAACTTCAGATATACAAGAGTTCTACGAAACCACGTTGTTAGATGATACCAAAACACCCGAACAGAAGGCAGAAGAAACGGAAGAAGCCGTACAAAGATGGGCGAACAATTCGCCGCCAGTGGAATCTCCTCCACCGAGCTACTCGGACTTTGACAAGGCAAGTTCTGGCAATTTCACATACATTTTAGAACGTTTTTATGTAGGTCGTCACATTTTTAGTTAGCAGTTGTCAGGAAATCAGATAATGTGTGGTTGAAACTTCGAAATAGCTATTAGTAACATTTGGAACTTGAAGACGTGGTTGTCAACTACATGAACAGGTACGAATGAAGTTAACAAACCGCGAGTATGCAGCCGTTAAAATAACTACATGGCCTTGCGTGTATCTGGGTCCGAAATATTGGTCATTTCATGGAGAATAGACAGTACACTGTCGTTTTAAAGATATTGTGAAATTTTCGGATCGCCGCTGTTGTTTATAAATCACAAATTACCCGCAATCAGTTCAGTTGAAGTTAGTTTTTATTACAACTCCAGTAAGGCTAATTTCAGAATTTTCGTAGCATTGCCAGATGGGATAATTAAGCTTTCTGTTGTCTCGGATGTACCAACAAAACAAAGCAAACTATTCTAATGAGTCCATTGCTACATTATAATTTCAAAATCTGTGATCTAGTCATTCTATCAAAATTTGGTTGTGAATACCCAGAAACCAGACATTCAAATTTAATGCAAGTTTTCCTGCTATACGATACAGTCGTTTGTTTAAAAGATAAATTTGAATTATTTCGATGTTTGCACCAACCTACCTGTAGATAAGCCTATTACTACAATGCT